GCACCCCCAAGGTTTCCAAGGTCTGTGCCCTGGACTGCACAGAGCCCTACCTGAGACCAGTGCCTGGGTGGTGGCTGTGTTACCCCAGGCTTCTGAGTGTTCTCCAGGAAGCAGAACAGCCGGCTGTAGGCTTCCCAAGGGAGACTCCCAAAGCATGGTTTTGGGCCTGGCACGGTGAGGCGAGTGGCTATGCATAGTAGCATCCTTTACTGTGCACACCACAGCCCCCACTGCCATTTTTCAGTACGGGGATGCTGATGCACATGATACTGGAGTCTGCTGGAGCGCAGTAGTTACCATGGTCAAGCAGACTCAATTAATCAAGTCTACTCTAATGCACTGTAATTACAGTGTATTGGAGCAGCCTCATTGCATGTATATAGGTGACCTAAGTCCCTCTCTCCCCATTTGGATTTCCCCCTGTGTCTCTCCCTTTCTCCCTCTGTCTGTCTGTCTCCCACACCTCCCCCCGGTCTCTCCCTATTCAATTTAGTTTTGCTCTTTGTGGAGACAACTACATCATATTGGAGTCACATCTGACTTCAAAACTCACCTTATCCAAGCACCTAGGCCTGCCACTGCCTTCGAGTCCAGTTGTTCTCTCAGCCCCTTCTGATCTGAACAGTGAGGGAGAGCAAACAATTTGGTAAATCGTATTTATTAGGTATCTTTAAAGCTGGAAAATAATCTCCCAAAAGAGCTCTTCACCATCAAAGGTGGAAGGATATTTAAAATGGAAGGGGTAAAATGTCCCATTCATTTTAGATATGTTTAAGTCAATTTTTTCTCCCTTTGTTGTTTCAGATAGCACTGGGGTTTAATGCAGCTTTCTGTTACACTTTTAAGATGAGTTCCTCAACAGCTGATCATGATTTTATTGAAGTTGATACAAAAGCTCTTAGCAGTTACTTACTCAGCAGCTCTATCATCCTGGCTGTGCACCAAGGCAGAAGCTTTGTTGAGAATTATTAACTTAGCCACTGTGTATTGCTGGAATTACATCAAGAAAACTTTTACCAGACATCTTGTTTTCTGTACTTACCATCTCAGTTCAGGTCTATGCCTGGTTTATATAACAGCAAAACTACAGTGTTGGGCTTATGTGTAGACCCAGGTTTTGAGGAGGTCTCTTGTTTAACCAATATTGCTTGTTAGTCTAATATCAAAGTGTGGGCCTTTTTGAGGTGACTAGCACAGCACGATTAACACATTAGGCTTATTTGAATAGGCAGGCTTCTCTAACATCGTGGCTCAGTGCTGCTAGTCTGATGGGCTAGTATGAAATTCACACCCTCTATTTATTGACTTTAGAGGAGTAAGACTTGCATGTGCAAAGATAGCACTTCCCTGGCACCTGGCCTCTGAGTTTATCATTTGCCCTGAAGTTTGTTATCCTGATATTATCTGGGAGCAAGTTTCAAACACTTCTTTGGCCTAGCATCCTCTCAATAACCTGTTTGAAAATATGTAACCTCTGTTCTTTTCGAAGAGTATAAAGAGGAATGGGGAGTTGTAGAGATCTTCATGAGTAAACCCCAATAAATATGTAAGGTAGTAGGGACAGTATAAGGAACTTCAAAAGTCTAAATATCTTTTCATATACTTACTAAGTGAGAAAATCCTTACGACATACTCTTTCTCATCCTGTTGAGGCAGATCTTTTTCTTTGTTGTGGTATTTATCAGGCTTTTCATGTTCTTTTTTTTTTAACAGCAAGCAAGAAAACCATATGATGTACGAGATGTTATTGAACAGTATTCTCAGGGGCATCTCAACTTGATGGTGCGAATCAAAGAGTTACAGCGAAGGTATGCTACAAAGTTTAATAGTCTTAATTTGTAAATGTCTCTGGAGAGTAGTCCATAAAAAGTAGTAAGTAGGTTGCAGTGCAAGAAGATGTAAAAGACTACAGTGGTAGGTACAGCAGGCCCGTACAAAATTACAGAATATTTTTATGTAATTCACAAAAAATACCACTCTGAGACTGTAAATAAAAGGTCCATGAATCATTTAGAACCATTTATTGTTTATATCTCTATATGTATTGCCAGAGCACTTGTTAGACCCAGTTGTAGACAACAACCCCATTATACAAACACTTAACAAAAAGACAATGCCCACTACAAAGATCTTATTATCAAGCTATAAAACTAGAGAGCATAGATGATAGCACAACCAGACAAGTGCAATGTCCTGCACTTGAGATGGAACAAATGCACGCACAAATCCAGAGTGGAGAACGACTGGCTATGCTGCAGTTCTGCAGAGAAGAACCTGGGGACTACAGTGGACCATGGTCTGAATATGAGCCAACAATATGTGGATGTTACCAAAAAAGTCAGCAGCATACTGGGTTGTAT